TCCAATGCCTGAATTCAAGAACTTACTCTATTTAATCATATATTCAATTTAGAGCTTCGACGTTCGAGTTCAACTTCAGATTTGTAGATAATATTCAACTATTAGGATGTCACATACCACATAGGGGGGATTGATGAAATAGAGGTTAGCATCTAGCATCTTGTGTGACAAAAAGGTGCCACCAGAACTTAAAGGCAAGTTATATAGAGCGGTGGTTAGACCGACTATGTTGTATGGGGCAGAATGTTGGCCAGTCAAGAACTCTCATATCCAAAAGATGAAAGTAGTAGAAATAAGGATGTTTAAGTGGATGTGCGGGCATACTAGATTGGATAAGATTAGGAATGAGGATATTCTAGCTAAGGTGAGGGTGGCGTACCTAGATGACAAAATGCGGGAAGCGATGTTTAAATAGTTCGGGCACGTATGGAGGAGAAGCATCGACGCCCCGGCCAGGAGGTACGAGCGATTAGGAGGACATGACCTTAGATAGGAAGGCTTGGAGGGCGAGCATTAGTATCGCAGGTTAGTAGGTAGTTGAGCGTTTTTCTTCACTGTTGAGAGTGCTAGGCTAGTTTGTAGTGTCTTGCTTTAGATTGTTAGTGGTACTTGTTGTGTTTGTATTATTTTCTGCTCCGATTGCCTAGTACCTTTCCATTATTCTGATTATTGATATTGTTTTTTCCATTTATTTTTCTGATTCTTAGGTTGCTGGCACTGTCTTTTTGACATATGTGGTTGTTATTGTTCCATTTCCTCTTTTTCATCTCCTTGTATCGAGGGTCTTTCAGAAACAACCTCTATAGCCTTTGGGGTAGAGGTAAGGTCTGCGTACACACTACCCTCTCCAGACCTCATACGTGGAATTATACTGGGTTGTTGTTGTTGTATTCTACTATTAGCTACGGTATAAAATAATTAAGATCATGACTAAACGAATAAATGAATGATATAATCAAGTGATCAAAACAACTATATGACTTCAATAATCAAGAAGTACCCATAACCCCAGAATAAAGGGAGTTTAGACACTCATATTCGTATGAACAATTACAATAATATTTCAAATAAAACTACAAATACTAGTGATAGAGAGGAAGAACACAATGATTTCGTGCTCCAAAAGGGTTTTGTAGCCTTCGTTGCCTCCAAAATATGTTTGACCCCGTTTAAAGCGAGTTTAGTGGTATTTATAGGGTAGGGTAGTGTCTAGGCCGAAGTACCCAAGTCCAACACTAAGAGGGAAGCAAAATTATCTTAGAAAATCTCCCATCAACGCGAGGCACCATCAGAGGCGCCGATATTTCTCTGCCTTCTTCTTTGACTTAAAGTTTAGGGGATATCCAATTAACCTGCAACGGTTCTCCTTTGTATGTTCTTTGTAATAGGAATACTCATACTGGATTAATTTCTTCCAAGACCTGAAATTTCCCCTGGATTTGCTGGACCTCTATTACTATACACCGGAATTCATTTAACAATTTCTGTAACTTGAACTACCTGTGTAATGTTTGCAAGGCTCCTTTGACTCTCAAGGTCTATGAGCAGAGAGTAAGTGTTATTAATATTAGGAACTCAAGACATCATTATGATCTAACTTCTTGCTTGAGAACAAAAGTCATTTAGGCCCATATGAAACTGCAAAAGTCTGTAATATTCAAAGTGAGTTGCATATTTCTTGAATTCTGGGCAAGGACACCCAAGATAGGGCATGAGTACATTAAACTAATCCTAGAGATGTTTAAGTTTGGAAAAATAATCAGCCACAGTCGTAGTGCGCTGAGTCACAGTATGAATCTCTCTATGAAGGTGAAGTATCTTAGATCCATTCACATTGTCGAATCTTTTTTTCAAATCCTCTCAGACTTTGTGAGCATTAAATTATACACAACATTACTCAACATGTGTGGTCACATAATATTATGATCCAAGACAGAACCACAACATTCACCTTCTCTCACTGATCATGTAGTTCGGGCTCAAACTTAGATTTAGGATATCGACCATCAACAAATCCTAACTTACTCTTACCTAGTAGATTAATTTTCATAGAACTAGTCTATATAGCATAATTGTCTAAACCAATTAACTGAAGGAAGATCAGAGAGCTACCTGGAATGTGTTTGTTGCAAGAAGAGAGGATGATTATGATCCATTAAGGAAAATTGGTAGTATCGGGTGTCAAAGTGACATTTGTAGAGGAACTATTACTAACATCATATGCAATCACCATTGTTAGATAATATAAATTGAGCAATTCACTAAACCTAGCTCCAATTTGCATCACTCTAAAATTCAACATCACGTGACTAATTGAAGTAACAAGAAAAATAATCAAGCTTAGATCGAAGATGCAAGCATACGATGTTATCTTCCATAACCATGGAAGTTATAGCTAAGAGACGATAGCTTGGAGAGAAAGCTCAGATGGAGAGAAAAAGAGTAATTGATCCTGTGAAAATGAATGCATGCTTGCATTGATACAGCTTATACGGTTCTATTTCTATAATACACTCAACTTGCTAACTAACTCACTAATAAACTTTACTCACTACAGACTTAACCCAACTAATGTAACCACAACTTGCTAAGCTTATCAACTCTCAACATGATTCTAAAACTTTTCTAGGACAGGATAATACTAGATTAATTTTTTTTCTTTAATAAATATGTATTATATTATTACAGAGAATCAACAAATTAGGCAAAGGTGCCTGTAGCTTCCTATACAATCTAACTTAGGAAAAAAGTGCTTCCAAAATACTTTATTCAGCCACATAATAGAAAACTTAACTAAGTGATGTGCTAGTTTGTTTAGGTTTCTAGGAATATAAATAAAGTCTATATGATCAAGCGAAACCGAAAGCTTCTAAATGCCTTCATAAGTCACTTTTATCACCCATAATGTACTATTTGTTTAGATCATATCATTAATACTTTTTTCTTCCGATAGAATCTTTACATTCTTATAACCATTTTTGATTGCACGTTCAAGAGCCATTCTTAAAGGAAGCGCTTCAACAGTCATGGCTTTCCCCACAAATTGGGTTGAAGATCCATGAGCATGAAGTATTTTTCCAAGGCTATCCAAAATCCAAACGCTAATACTTTCACTTCTATTTTCAGTTGTAAACCTGCATCAATAAATAATAAATATACATTCTTGATGGGTTGTTCCATTTTGAAAAAATGTATATGAGCAAATAGCTAAAATATTCTTATGAATATAATAATCAAATAATGACTTAAAATTAATATCAGTTGGTTCAAACTTATCTTGATTAAAATACTAAGTATTGCTCAATTTTTAAATTTGTCACATAATATTAGCACTTAAATTTAGTAACTCTATCGATTCAGGATACTTCCTAGCATTTGAAACTAATTTATACCATCACACTAAAAATTATTAATGTTCTCCAATTTAAGCTAGTTTATAGCACTTAATTTTCACATAAGTTGAGAAGGCCATCCAAATATTATATGCTCAATATCCTCACCTTCACCTATCACACACACACACATATATATATATTCTCCATACTTGATATTCTCTCAGCGAGATTATTGCTTACAAGTAAGTATACATTTTTTTTAGAAAATATTTGAGTTTATTTTTTACTCTCAATCTCCATAACGAGTCCCAAATAATTTAGGTAATGAATGATAACTAGATTGAACATCTAAACTATTACTGGGCTTCCCCTTAAGCATTTGCTTTGCTAAATAGTATCTCGATTTAACTTCATAATTTCCTAATTCAACTTTTAATCTAATACTCCTTCCGTTTATTTTTACTTGTCATGTTTCGCTTTTCGAGAGTTAAACTACATGAATTTTGACCAACGTTCTAACATGTATATTTGTACCATATTGATATGGGACGAATTACAAATTATAGTACTTTTCGTATAGTTTCTGAATATCTGAATTTTAATTTTAAAATATTAAGAAAATTTAATCTAATTAGCTTCAAAAATTAATCAAATTAACTCTCGAAAAGTAAAACGTGATAAGTAAAATCGAACAGAGGGAGTACTAGACCGAAAGTTTGACTAGGACAAAATTGCTCAATTTTGAGTAATGCAAATTGCAAAAGTAGATTTGACATTTCCCAACTAGAGTAGGAGTTATTCTTTTGAAGCAATTGAATCCCAAAAAATTGTATTACGATCTCCACTTAGTAAAGAGGGAAAGCTATATACTTTCTCTCTTTTTCTTTCCTCACTAGTAGTCTTTCCCCCGACTTGTTTGAGCGTATTAGATTGTATTGTTTAAATAAATTTTAATTGTTATCTTATTTGTCAGTACGATATATCCAATAATTAAATCTTTATTAGATTAAAGGGACTTATATAGTCATCGAATAACTTTTTTGCTATATTTTTCTTTATTGTATTATTTAATATTTAGTATTATTGCATTATTAATAAAAAATTTATTACCATATTGCTTTGTTTAATATTTTTTCCTTCTCTGTAATATAAGAGAAGATTCTCTTGTTCTCAATAATATTGTATGAATTTAATGAATAAATACACTTTTTATTTTTAAAAAAGAAAAACAAAAATAATTATTAAAAAAATAAAAAAAATTAACTAACCTAAACCAACCCTCACCCATGTTTGAGTAGTTATTTTAGGTAGTTAATTTTTTTGTGTCTTTATTTTTTATCATTTTTAAAAAAAATAATTTTTGAATCTCCAAATTTGTTGTAGCTTTGTTCTAAAATTTGATACTTGTTAAATTTTTGTTGTTACACTTGGCATCATCACATTGATTTGCTTCTCCTATTCTTTTTTTGTGTCTTTATTTTTTATCATTTTAAAAAAAAAAAATTTTGAATCTCCAAATTTGTTATAGTTTTGTCCTAAAATTTGATACTTGTTAAATTTTTGTTGTTACACTTGGCATCATCACATTGATTTGTTAAAATAATATAAATAAATAAATAAATATATATATATATAGAAGATATAAATTTTCGCCACAAAAACGGAGAGAACGAAAACCCCCTTATACACGGATCTTTGTTTTCTCCTAACCCCGCAACCAGACAGCAGAAAACTGGTAAATTTTGAAAAAACCCGGAGGATCATAAACCCCGAATTCCAATCAAAATCAGTAATTTCTTTTTCTCTCTATCTCACTGGCGCACACACATATACAAAAGTATCCAAATATACAATTTCAATTTCAGAGTAACTAATGGACGAAGGAGAAGGGGGTTTAAGCTTTGATTTCGAGGGCGGCTTAGACACTGGGCCGACACACCCAACTGCTTCCGTACCAGTAATGACACAATCTTCCGATCACAACATTGCCGCGGCCGCCGCCCCAAATGCTAACATTAACCAGCCCCCTACTGTCTCAGCCCATGTAGGCGGGGATGTAGGGTTTGTTGGCAATCGTCGGAGTTTCAGGCAGACTGTTTGCCGCCACTGGCTACGGTCACTGTGTATGAAGGGTGAAGCCTGTGGCTTTCTTCATCAGTATGATAAATCTCGAATGCCAATCTGTCGGTTTTTTAGACTGTATGGGGAGTGCCGTGAACAGGACTGTGTTTATAAGCACACCATTGAGGATATCAAGGAATGCAACATGTATGACTTTTTTTAACTGAGTTTTTTATTTTCTGGTTATGCTCATCTATCTTTAATAACGCAACCAACCAGAAACTATCTATACTGAGTGTAAACTGGTAATTGAAGGAAATAAATACTCCTATATGTTGCAATTGGCTGTGAGGTTTCCTACTAGAATAATGCTATAATCTCCGTCCAAACTTTAGCCTCTATGAGGCCCCAGGGCTTTAGTCTCAGCCTTGCATGTCGTAGAGGTTAAAGTTTTTTTTATCTTAATAACCGAGAAATCCTCGAGGGCCAATGACACACGGTTCGAAACTCCGTGGATAATGGACTTTCCCCTCTATCCTTCTCCACTTAAATACCAGATTTTGTCTGCAGCAGGGTTTGAACTCGTGACACAGGTGCTTTAGATGTTTATGATAATGACTCATGTTAATTTGCTTGCTTTTAATACATACATACATATATATATATGTGTGTGTGTGTGTGTGTGTGTGTGTGTGTATTAATAAGCAAAAAAGACAGTAGCGAGAACCTAAGAGAAATGACATATGGTTAGGTAATGACATATATTGCTGGTTATGATGGTTTTTATAATACAGGTACAAATTGGGGTTTTGTCCAAATGGTCCTGATTGTCGATATAGACATGCAAAGTTGCCCGGACCTCCACCACCAGTGGAAGAAGTTCTTCAGAAAATTCAGCATCTGGCGTCCAACAACTATGGTTACTCAAACAGGTTTTACCAAAACCGGAATGCTAATTATTCAACACAGGCTGAGAAATCTNCAAACCTCAAGCTTCACAAGGACAGAATGGAATGGGTGCTGTGAAATCTACAGCAACTGAGACACCCATTATACAACAGATCCAGCCTCATCAACAACAAGCTTTACAGACTCAACAACAGGGTGGCACAACTCAAACACAAATTCATCCCAATGGCCAGCAAAATCAAGCAGATAGGACTGCAGTAGTTCTGCCTCAAGGAACCTCTAGGTGTGTAGAGTTTCAAGGTCTTTAATTAGGTTATGTAATCAGTTCATGTACGTATATTATTTACAATAATTTAACAGTCCCCTATGTCAGCTGTAATGAGTTCATCCAGAGCCTTGGGTTCGTAACTAGTTCAACTAGTTTCGTGATTGTTGTTTTCTATATCCACTTGTATACTAGTTTTCCCTTTGTTTTATTTTCTGCTCTACTTAGGCATAGTTTGCGTGTCTGAGGAAGTGATATTGACTATTGTGATCTTAGTTCATCAGAGTTCTGCAATAAAAGATACATACTTTTACGGGTAATTTGAGTGCCCTGATGCATACGTAAATTTAGAGATCACTCTCCTCCAAAAGAGGACAGGAGAATTGGATTAGAAGATATGTAGCTACTTTGCTTTCTTCATTCCATTTTTCTTAGTTTTCCCCATGGTTTGTGTATCTATAGCTGCTAGAAGTTTAGGCCTAATGATTGCTTAAACTAATGAAGCTAAATCAACTCTCTTTGAAAGAAAAGAGCTCATTTTTTTCTTGCTAGCATTTCATTAGCTGTTGTGGTCGCTGCATTTTGCTCTTCTAGCAAGTCTAACTTTGTCGGAGTGATCTAAATACCAAATAGTAGGTTAAGACTAAATGCATTGAATAATTTTTCGTCGAGGGAGGGGTGGGTGAGGTGATGCACCCATTGTAACTTCCTCCCTGCTTGTGAAAGTGAAGCGGTACTATATCTTGATTCTGAGAAGATGTCCTTTGAATTGTTTTCTCATTTTTGGCGTTCCTTTTGTAAAGTAAGATTTTGCTGTGGCGCCTGTCAGACAACAATTAGACCATCTTAGACCTAGGGAGCTCTAAGTGCGGTCCTCTTCCTCTCCATAACTCTGGGGCAAAGGAGCCTATGGCTCCATGATGCAGACAAGCATGCTCTATGTACTAGTCATGGTTCAGCGACCAGAGGTGGTTACTTTTCTCCTTAGACTTTAAGGAAATGATGTCTCAGGCTTACTAAATAGATCCTATCATATTGAGTTATTCCTGTTGATATAAGAGCCTTCTTTTCATCAACATGCAAACTAGAATCTGTTTCTAGTTTCAACTATTGCAGCTATGTTTCTGGTGCAACTTGGGAAATGTATAGGTTTTGTCGAATTGCTTTTGTGTTTTTGAGGTATACAATCTTATAAAATTTCTTTGCTTGATGGATTAGCAGTCAGCACTATCCCGGTGTTGTTTGTTGCAATAGAATGTTATTTACTTGTCAGAAAATGTGATGATTAACCTGTATAGTCTAGAATGCATAATATGCATCTCCAACTGCTTTCCATGATCAAGGTCTTGACAATGCTAAATATTGCCTTAAACCTGGTTTGCAAATTTTGAAGTATGTACTATGGTTAAGCTTTTGAGAGACTATCTGTGTTTACCTTCATGATTCCATTCCCCTTCTTCCTCTCTAAAGCAGATTCATGTACCAGTGCGGCTTATTGAGATCTTTGAAATTTATGTAATGTCTTTGGATGAGTGTTAGTAGCTTGGTGAGCCACTTTAATACCTATTTTTCTCTATTTTGGATTTTGATTTCTGGTATTTTAGTGTGACTGCAGGACTATGCCTGGGCAGTCTCTTGCAAAAGTTAGGGTGTTTTTTTATATTTAGACTGCCCAGGTGGCTATGGTTTTTAAGAAGCTACTGATGTTTCGATTTCAGAGTCTTGGCCTGCCTATATTCTTCTTTTATTATCTTATCTCCTTTGATAATTGTCTACGTGCCATACAATTATGGAATTGTGCTTTTGGTCAATTTTCTTTTTGGAAGAACAAGGGGATATTAACTTTCAACTTGTTGTCCTGCTCCATCCACAATTGCATACTAGTCATTTGGTAAAGATTGGGTCATAGATGGGACAAAAACATTAACTTTTTGAGGATAAAATTCTGGATAGAAATGAAATCTGACAAGCTCCTGCATTCAGGGTGCTTATATGCTCACTTGATTTGTCTTTTCTGATTCGAGAATATTGTGGGCATCATCTCGTGTATTGGTTTCAAGATATTGTACTCCCTTTTGTATTTACATTGGAGTCTTAGACTACAATTTAGTGAGGCATTTTGGTTATTGTTGAGAGGACAAGCTATATGTGAACCAAAAGCTTAGCTCTCTAGTGCCTCCATGAATGAAATAACAATAAACCAATTTAAACCAAAAGGAAAGTAATAAAATTCACGTGGCTTCACCATCGTAGACAGGTGAGATCTTAAAAGATAGCAGTTATATATAATGACCAATGCACCAAAAGGAACACAAAAATTCTCCAAATAGCTTTACCCTCTTTAGTACCTCTAAAGACCCATGCTACAAACTATATCATACAAAGTTAATGGAAGAACTCAATGGTCTATTATATAGTTAGAGTTAATACATACCAGTAAATAATAAGCTGATATGCATTTGGTACGATGAAATTCATTTTTCAAGATAATGTTCTGTGCGAGGAAGTCTTTTTTTTGGTGTTTAGTTACTAGAAAAATGTTTTTAATGAAAAACATTTCAATCAAAGAGGGAAAATGATTCTCACACTTATGAGGGAAGTTATTTCCCTGCAATTATTTTAACTTAATATTACTTGTCATAACACCTAGAAATTATCGTTATTCTTTAATACTAAAAAATTTCATCTAATACTCTCAGATTTGGCTATAATTATTTTTAATCTTTTGATGTATGTTTTTTCTGTAATATATTTTCCTTACCAACCAAACACAGGAAACATTTTCTATAAAAATATTTTCCATGAAATATAACTTCGTGCCAATCTTACAGAAACATGATTTATTATTTTCAGTCTAAGTTGTGGGTGACCTCTCAGGTTAGGCAATAAGGTAATTTGTTTTTTGGAAGTTATACTCTTGTGGCGGAATCATCTTCATTTGGTGAAAGTATAGTGAGATATCTTTTGTTGATGTTGAACCTCTTGTTAAAGACCATTTTGTGAATCTGGATATGCTATAGCTTGAAGATAGACTTTACTGCATTGACTGCAGAACTGCATGTTGGAACTTTGTCTTTTTTTTTTTTTTTTTCCTTTTCATTTTTGATTGTTGCATATTGACTTTCAAGTGATCCTTTCACTGGCTTTCCAGTTCGATGTTGAGTTTTAGCTTGTATTATTTGGTTATTGTAACTTGGATTGTGACCCTTTGGACGATGAAGTGCACATATGTTGCTAAGTTTTCATAGCTACTGATATTAGTTGAGCAGTTTTACATTACTTAGACATAGGTGCTTGTTGGGTTTGTCAAGGTGTTTACTTTTATGATATGGGATGTCAATACAATTTTGGATACAGGTGTGAGAATACATCTAATTAGGTTGTTGTATCGGGATACTTGATTTTCTAACATCGCCTTGATGTAATGAATGAATTGTCTCTAGACTTACCGAAAAAGAACGATTTTAATATTTTAGATTTGAGGATAGAATGTAACATCTCCAAAGAG